TAGTATGAATCAGTTGTTCACATTAACATATCGCTTAAATCTGTCAGAGTCGGAGCCCTCCAAATGTCTGACATAATAGCCATTTGGATAGAGAGTCCAGAACAAAATTCATTTGTCCAACCGCTTGAGTTACCCTGGTCAACTGCAGGCTAGACAAATCAACAAGCACTTTTTAAAAGCACAAAAACACGTTACAGCAATAACGTTACAGAAAACATTTAGTAGATATGTTTTTTAGAACTTAACTGTCTCCAAAATTTCATCAAAAGAGCCTTAAAATACCGACGGTTAAATGCACAATCAACGACAAACATCAGCAAACAAATAGTTTCGCCCCATATAAAGATGGTCTTTAATATTACAAACAGATCACTAAGACCGCTAGTAACAGGTGTAGCTTAAAGGCCAAACAAATCCCCGCAAACAAAAGACAAACCAAACGTCAACTAAAAATTAAGTGCCAGCAACTGCAATAAACACTATATAGGGAAAAAAGCTGCCTTTTTTGTCTGCGTCTGCATGAATATCAGTTGGCTACAAAATGATACGATATAGCTTCACTCAGATTAATACATGTTGAGATTTGCAGACATGAGTCCCACTGGGAAAATTCCGCAATATTGAATGGAATAAACACCGCGAAAGTCAAGAAATTCGTGGAAGCCTGGCACTTCATTAAGGTATCAATCAATGGACACATAAGAATCAAACCAAATTTGTTAGTTAACAAGGGTAAGTAATAACGAAGATAACGCCTGAGTTTGAGTCGGAAACAAAAGTGACTAAAAGAAGCATATAAGTGGAGACAAAACTGCTATGAATAACAACCAATAAGATTTCAGGTCAATAGAACAAACTGTTGGTCAATTATGGATAAATTCCAGTTGCTCACTTAACTTTGGATTGTTTGCTAGTAGTATCGTGCAAAATAACAAGAGCTTTACAAACATTCCACCTAGCTCAGAGATTACAACACTTTCAACATGCGCATTATAAGTTACAAATGATCTCTGCCATCTCGGTAAGAGCAGTTTTACTCTATGCTTGTGAAAACTGGCCTCTCGGAGTTGAGGATGTTAGACGACTCTCTGTTTTTGATCATCGTTGTCTCCGAAGGATTGCTGACATCCGGTGGCAACAGCATGTTAGTAATGCAGAGGTTCGGTATCGTGTGTTCGGGCACAGAGACGATAATGCAATCGATGTCACCATCTTGAAACACAGACTTCGGTGGCTCGGACATGTTCTACGAATGTCGTCTCGGAGGATTGCACGTCGTGCACTATTTGCTGGCACTGGGACTGGTTGGAAGAAGCGGAGAGGTGGTCAGTGTATGACATGGTGTCGGGGGTAGGAAAGAAAGCTGCAAAGGGCCTGCTTCTGTTAGTCCTTCACGACTCCCTGGCTGGGGTCTGAGAGATGGTACGACGCAGCGGCTAGAGACTTTATCAGATATGGCTCAGAATAGAAGCCAGTGGCGATCCTGCTGTAACTTTCTTTTACTTTTTTCATAAAAAGTGGTTGTGTCTTGCTTAACTGAAAGAACTCTCCTGATTATATCTTTCCGTTTCCCCCATTATTATTATTACTACACTACCTTACACTAATCTGTGGTCGTTAGTGTTCTTTTTTTCTTGTACTCACCTTACCTTCTTTTTTCTCTTTCCATCATCATTGCTTTGTGTGGCGTATATAGAACTGGTGCCCCCTTGTACCAATATTTATGTGTTCAAATAAAATAACAAAATCTGCCATTTCAATATAGAGAGGAATAAGTTGAAAATTTAATAGTCACTCTTGTATTTTCATGACTTAAAGTTAATTTATTAAAATATCGCTATTACCACTCACATATCTTTTTAGATAGTGAAAATTCCTATTTTGACATTTGGTAAATAAAGAAGGAACGATTTTGGTTTTTCATCATGGCTCTACACTAATATATCTATATCATTTACAATGATGGCATAATACTCATCGAGTGGATATGTTACGTAATAATTACATAATGATATTTCGATTACAAATTAACATAGAGTAATTGGAAGTAAAAGGTTTAATAATATTCAAAGTAATTACTCGAAAACCAAGAAGTTGCTGTGTTGCATAACATATAAAAAAGAAAAAGGAACAGAATATTTTAAGGATTGGTCAGTTGAATAGTAGTTATGTAAGAATCAGGGGACGAATGCTGAGAAAAAATAAGAAAATACAAAGTTCGGAAAACAAAATGGAAAATGTATGCAAATAGTTTTGCTACAAGCGTCCCTATATCGATGGCCAATGTAGCGAAAGTGGTTGAACAAACTTCTTTATCATACAAAGGTTAGGTTTGTGAACATGGATTGTGATGGCTTCATTACTGTGCAGAAAACGCACTCGTAAACCATGTGGCAAATTTGATGGAATATGGTAGATAATCTTAAAAGCTTTGTTCAGTTCAACTTGATGACCTGTGTCAACCAAGTGAGCGAGAATAGAATTCTTAATCACTCTTACTTGTCCTTTGCTCAACCACGACGGATGGCGCTTTGTTATATGATGACGAACCTGCCGAATTCTGCGCCATATATAACTGGCTCCGCAGGAGCAATTGAATTGATAAATACACATGGATTTGGCAAGTTCAGGCAATCCGTCTTTATTGGCCGTTCTTATTATGCGGTGGTTGTAGAAGATAACACAGTCTGACGGCATTAAATGTTTTTTGTACCGCTTTTTAGTCTCTGAGTCACAATTTCCTCAGTAGTGTCATCTAGAAATTGTAAGTTTATTAACAGTACTTTCTTAGGAACGGTGGGTATTTTTGTCTTTCTTTTCATTTCCTTCATGTGTCTGTCGATGAATTTCATAGGGTACCCATTCTAACTAAACATGTTACATATATTAACCAATCCATATACAATGGTGTTATCCGAACAAATCATTTTGGTACGATAAGTCAGGATCTTCATCAACTTCTCTTCGTATCTGATTGGTATTGCATTATAGAAATGAGTGTATTGTCCTGTTACAGAATTTCTGTGTAACCCTCCTTTTAAAGTTTCATCTGCTCGTCTAGTTAATTGGACATCTAGAAATGACATGCTTTTGTTCTGTTCTTCCTCTGATGTGAAATTGATTGATGGATGTTATTAAATATATTAGGTAAATTGTCCTTTCCATGTTTTCTTTCTAATACTATGAAAGTAGCGTCTATGTAGCGAAAATAACATGTTAAATGGCTAATTGTGTTTTTAAGTGGTTCATTTTCAAGTTTCGCAAGGAAAATTTCTGCCAGTAGAGGGCTCTATGGTGACCTAATTGCTACTCCATCTAGTTGTCTATAATGTTCGTTGTCAAATCAGAATTGGACGTTCATCGTGCATCTAAGAATTAACTGTTTTATTGCGGATGTAAGAATGGTGGTTTCTATACGCCTAACTGTTGGTTCACTGCAAATAAAATCCACCATTAAAAGTAGTGGAATTTTAGTAAATAAGGACGACACATCTGATGATATCATAAAGTTATTCTTGACCGACAGATTTTTTACATTCTCAACAAATTCAAGGGCATCCTTGACAATATGCTTAACAATTTCTTTGTGTAATGGTTTGAGAATTCTCACCAACCATTTCGTTATGTTATGATAGGCTAAGTTATTCATATCTAAAACTGGTCGAAGAGGCAAGCCACTTTTACGTATTCTTGGCAGGCCATGCAGCCTTAGTTTAATCGTTTCTTCCTCACTTGATTCGTTCCTTATTTATTTACCATATGTCAAAATGGGAATTCTCACCATATTGAAACGTTCTGAACAAACATTAGCGTTAAAGGTTCTCTACGTGTATTTGAAGTATAGCGGAAAGCTCAGTGAGGCAAAGACAAATATGTTTTTATGGTTAACATTATCACAAATATTTCAAGTGCACAAAGAACTCGATTAGCGATCACCAATTTTCATCATCCTGTAGCGGTAAATAAATCCCCAAAATAAATAGCACTAAGTTTTCGACATTGGATGCTGACCATATGTTTTAGTGGACTCATCTAGCTGAAGGCGCTCGGTCAGGCATCCGCACCAGATCACGTGTGTTAACGCCGCGCTCAACATCAACCACATTCGCTAGCCAGATTAGATCAGAGAATCCCGGTATATTGGTCATCGCCAAATATACTCTTCCGATCTCCTCGACTCTGTCTTTTGATTTCTCTTGGTGGGAACGAAACATATTAGAAGGTGTTACTGGTAGAAGCGTTGTGAAACACTGAATACCTGTGACATCATCAATCCTTTACTTCAATTTTGTCATTCTATCCATTAAGTATTCTAAAATCAGGGATTTTATTTTATTTGTAGGTATTGTATTATTTCTGTTACACAATGCTTTTTTATTTAATCTGAATAATAATCACATAAGCTTAGTCGACCTACAAGTTTGTGTAAGTTGGCATTACACACTAGTCATTTCAGGCTACTAGTTTTATTGTACCAACAATCGTAGATACATATGCTGTGGGTTTTAGCAGATCTATCCATCTCATTTTAATTTACAGTATGTTAATAAATTGTGTAAGTCGAGGTTATTAGTGTAAAAATGAAGTAGAAACCTAAGTACTGAATAACGTTTTATCAAGCGCAAATCATTCCTAGTATTTATGTGGTTCACTTGGCACCGTATGAACACTTTTATCACGGCATGCACTAAAAACGTTGAAGCAAATAATTTGCTGTGATAATTGCTCCTACGAAACATTTACAGCATATCTTTATCCATGTTCAATGACTCCGTTTTACATAATGATTTCAAAACCAGTAATTCAGATAATATATTTTCTACCATTTCGATAAGACAAGCATCAACATTTGAGGCTTCTTATAAGCTGAAATTTGATTCTTGATCACAGAATTTCGAAAAATAATCATAAGTCAAAAAGCTAAAAATTACTTCGAACCTACAGTACTTATATGTATAAGAAAATTCGAAAAACGAGCACATGAAGTGTAAAATACTGACCTGCACGATTTTTAATCCGTGATGCTTCATATAGGTTCAGGCTCATCAGTAATCTTGAAGTCCATGAACTATTTTTGAGATTGATAACAAGTTATGCCTTTTGAAAAGTTTACAAGCAATTCGTGACTTTCAGGTTTTCTTTAAGGATTTAAACAAACATAATGCCTTTTTACTCATCCTTAAGAAAAACTACAACCAACATTGCGTCTCCAAATTCCTTCATAATCTTCTTATTTGCAAATGAAGCAAGCAATTAATTATGCTCACAGCTTTCCTTGGTAATACTGTTTTTAACGCTTACTGCGGATCTAATATTGAAGATCACTTGAGGTGCTTTTTTCTCAGTAGCTACCTTCAATATCAGTACTTCTTCGAGATCAAAGTAAGGTTTACATGTAAATACATCGATATTCACCTCTGCAGTGGTGATTAAATCTCAAAATAACTTCGTAAATCTTGGACAGTGAAGTTATCATTATTACTTTTACTGGACACGCCCCCAAATGAGGCCTTGCGGACAAACACCCACACGAACTCTTGCTTTTCTACGCCATACTGTTTATCTCTTACGACAAAAAACAAGCTTGGGTCGCGTGCACTCTGATACATTGACCATTTACAAATATGTTATCACATTCCATCATTCTTGACTTCTTGATTTACTGACCTGAATATTCTTGTTCAGGATGACGTTTTGAAAAGAGCCGTCGAAAAAGATTACGTGCTTGTGAAATTTCATCAGTGGACGTCAATGTAGTTACGAATATCATACCGTAAACTGTTAGTTTGTCTATTGTAACGTTTACATTTATTTTTATATTGTAAAATTCCTGTGTTCTTCCATCGCTTATCGGGTATTGATATATCTGTTCATCTTTTTGTCCAAAACGCACTAAACCCTGCAATAATTAGAATCCCTTTTCTTTCACTCTATAAAGAATGCGACGCTAGCTGAATAAGTCTGTTTCTCCCATTCAGAAGCTCATTATCACAAGCATGGTGCGACCGACTCTCCTCATTATTTCTTCACAATAACGAAGATACTACCACGATCGTTTATCAGGTACGTTAAATCTACTGCACTTATAGACGATGCTTCAAAACACTAGGAATCTTTGGAACAGTCTAGCTTTAAAGGTAGAGAACTCTGTATCAACCTCACTTATATTCTAAGGATTTAGAATGACCGTAGACGGTTGGTAAGTAACCGTAGAATTCCACTAAAATGAAGATCAGCTTCCAGACAGCGAGAAACGAATAATTTTTTAATGGTGTTGACACTGCATCACCAGCGTAGATGATCTACGTCGAAATGATTGGAGGCCTACTCGAGTTACACGTGAATCGTGTGACGAACTAGCTAACGTCGAAGTCACACCTCGTGGTCAGCACTTAGGCGGAATACTCCCTTGACGTATCAAGGTACTACAGATGCTTTGAAGACTTTACAACGCAAAGGATGTTATTACTGAAATATATTAAAACATTTAGTCCCTTTGATAAATTTCGATAATGATATTAAAAGACGAAGATTATCAGAACTACGTGATATATTAGCGCAATACATTTCGAACAATCTGGTCACACATATACTTGTTAAGAGCATTTATGTATAAAAAATAAAAGGTCAACTAGACAAAAACGGGCTAAAGATAAGGATAATGATAAGAGTAATAATAATAATAATGTGAACACGATTCGAAACCTCATCACTCTGGATTATAAGTCAATATTACCAGTATAGGGTTAAGATAAGAACAAACTGTTTTTAAATACACAAAGGGGGGTTGAATTTTCGTATGGCTAAGGCTTCAATAAACCTTAGTATACGCTCTTTTACACTTTTATACAACACTACAAACGCTGAGTCTAGATCAATCTTGTGACCTGTGAACATGTACCCAAATGGCTGTAGAAACAAATACAATCAAGTGACCCAATAAGAGCAGGTGATAAACATCCATCATCCTCTACTGCTAAACATATGATTGAAACAGGTCACAAGATTGATCTAGACTCAGCGTTTGTAGTGTTGTATAAAAGTGTAAAAGAGCGTATACTAAGGTTTATTGAAGCCTTAGCCATACGAAAATTCAACCCCCCTTTGTGTATTTAAAAACAGTTTGTTCTTATCTTAACCCTATACTGGTAATATTGACTTATAATCCAGAGTGATGAGGTTTCGAATCGTGTTCACATTATTATTATTATTACTCTTATCATTATCCTTATCTTTAGCCCGTTTTTGTCTAGTTGACCTTTTATTTTTTATACATAAATGCTCTTAACAAGTATATGTGTGACCAGATTGTTCGAAATGTATTGCGCTAATATATCACGTAGTTCTGATAATCTTCGTCTTCTAATATCATTACTGAAATATATTAGTTAAAGTAGATACAAGGGGAGGGCCAGTCTATGGTCTACAATTAACTAGTGCGCGTTGGTTGTCCTTGACCCTGGCAAGGATCAGTGACCCAACTGCTGGATGATTTAGCTAAGGCTGTGACATTTTACTGGCCCTACAACACCACAATTTCCACGACAAATATTTCAGATACTTCATTAAGCTTTGTAGTTTGCCTATCCCCAAACCTGATGACGCACCAGCCCGCACGCGTCAACAACGACTGCTGTCTACCGACACAGCCGACCACTGGTATGGGTCTATTAAAACATCATAACTTGATCGTTGACTCAGCCATCCAGAAGATGGTGGACGGTAACATTGAATTACCTATTCTTATAAAATCTTTGGTTTCAGGTTGTGCACAACTCAATCGATACTTGATGAGAATGCTGAGCTTGAAATCGCCTTGTGCAACTCATAACTTTGAACAATATATTGCGCTGAAGGAGTAATCTATTGTCGTGAAAATATTTCAGCCACCTTGTAAGATGCTGCAGTCTTTTGAATGTGACATAACTGAGCCCCCACGGTTGCAAACGATATCTTTAAGGCTTTCATCATCATGCCTATCTACATTCCCCAGGATCACAACTGTAATTACTCTCAGAAAGAAAACTTTTCACACCCTTTAGTACCGAACCATCACATAAAAACGGCTCCTATGTATGGTAACAGTCGCAACTCCTTCCAGTTACGCGCAGCAGACCCCTCTCACGCTAACGTGAATAGCTATAACAGAGACTACGAGCCTAACCACCAAGACTATTTTGTAAATAATCATACACTTCACAGTAGGCCTGTACAAGATTTTTTTGGAATACGACCCCTAGTGACACCTATGTTGAAGCATATAGCCCAAGTTATTTCTAACCACATGCAAAACATAAACTTGTTTCTTCAGTACAGTTCCCATCAGAGAGTACTCCCGCCCTTTTGTCCCGAGTAAACTCCCCAATCAACTTCACTAGATCATTTGATACATCTACCACTAAGTCTAGCTATCAAAATACCGAGCTATTGAAGAACATTCAATCCCTCACTTCAAACACATTACACACCCGCGAGGGTTACGGCGAATTTGTCCAAGATACTCTTACCAGTTTTAACTTAGTAGGCCAATTGTTTAATATGTCTTATCAACGCTAGATCGGTCTGCAACAAAAAGACGGATCTAGCCCTGTTTGTATCCATATATCAACCATCACTTATAATGATATCTGAAGCATGGACTAACAGTTATATTTCCCACCGAAGTATATCTCTTGATAACTATTTCCTACATAGAAGAGATAGATTGAATGGACGAGGCGGAGGATGCCTTATTTACGCTCACTCTAGCCTAAACTCACTACTATATTATATGCCTGAACTAAACAAACTGAAGGCTTCGGTGTGGATTGTATTAAAACCGTCGAATTCCGTTACCTTACTACTCGGCCGTGTTTATCGTCACCCTGACGCACTAACAGATGAAATAGCAGTATTATCGGAGGTATTCACACGAGCATCCTCCCTCTCATTCACGGGCAAGCTTATTTGTAGTGACTTCAACATGCCCGAAACTTCTTCACTGCCAGTCAAAGCGCCAAGACGTTATGGTTCATTTATTGAATGTCTAGAGCTTGGACAATGGACTCAGTACGTCAACAGCCCTACCAGACATCAAAACATCTTAGACTTAGTCTTTACCAGTGGCCTAACCTTCAATACTGTGTATACTAGAAAAAGGCTTCCAGTTGATGATCATAACATTGTCATATGCAGCCTTAATATAAGAACCACAACCGGCAGACGTAAAACCGTAATATTTCGTAGACTTTATCGCAAGGTTGATTGGAATAACTTCCACAATTACCTGAGAAGCATTGATTGGAGAACTTTCTTTACTAGAAATAATACCGACACATTGACAAATATAGCTTATTTCAACATCAAAAGTATCATCAACAACATCGCACCTTTAGAATACTGTAAACCTACGTTCTCCAAAGATCTCTATATACCGGTCAGTACAAGAAGACGTCTTCAAAGACATTGTACTCGATTCCACAACTTAAATGACTTTTCCTCTTTAGTAACGATGACAGAAATACTTGTCCGAACAGAGGCAATAAGTAAACAAAAAGCAGTAGCACAGGAAAAACGTGCAGTTGAACTTAATAATAACTCCTCTGCACTCACCATACTACTCCAAAATAAACTTAAACGCTCTAAATCGAGAGGGAGTATATTCATTAAAGGCAAACAAGTATACGAAGATCCCAAACTTATCACAGAATTATTTGGTGAACATTTTTGTTTCTCACTAACTAACGAAAAACCATTTAATGATTCAGAACCAATCCCAGTAACTCCCTGTGAAATTACTAATGTAGAATTCAGTGTACAAAATATCTCCAAGGCAATCAGTACATTGAAACACTCCTACACTGATGGACCAGATGGTATTCCATCTAGCATGCTAAAACGTGGAGGTGATGATATGTGTGTTTTGCTTCTCAAACTATTCGCGATATCACTCTCTTCAGCGTGTTACCCTACTGCCTGGAAAACTACACATATCATTCCCAAAATTAAAACAGGACCTGAAGCAAACGTTGAAAATTACCGGCCTATAAACATAACTTCAGTGGTATCCAGAGTGATGGAAAAAGTAGTTAAGGCGGCTGTAGTCCAACATCTACTAACTAATAATCTCATCTCGACCTCC